ATATTATTGTCCTCAGCACAAGGTGCACCTGTGTAATGATCGTGCTGTTTAATCAGCTTCTTGATATACCACGCCTTGGCAAAGGAGAAATGCTCACTAACCGGGATGTAAACACATTTGTGCACAACATTTTAGAGAAATAAGCTTTTTGTGCGCATGTACAATTTCTGGGATCTTTTATTTCAGCTCATGAAACATGGGACCAACACCTTACATGTTGCGTTTATAGTTTTGTTCAGTGTAGTTCATATTGTTGAATGGAGTGATGGAAAGTAATAATTTGACAAATCTGCTGGCCTTTCTACAATATGATTCTACTCACCAGCGCATGTGCTACTGTGCACAAACATGTATATTATTTAATGGTCCCTTTTTTATTTTATATATTTTGATTCTTTTCACCCACCCTCTTGTCATTTAGGGCTGTTATGACAGAAGACTTTAAAGTGCCTGATAGAATGGTTGGATTCAGTAAGTACATGTTATGGGAGGTACACTATGTGGTTTGGGATGTTTTTGTCCTTGTATGCTTTATTTAGAATTATGTTAAAGTTTGTATTAATTAGTGTTGTCCCTGACAACGACAAAAAAATGGTCGACCGAGAGTCGTCATATTCTTTTGACCAATCGATTGGTCGAAATGTTAAAATTTGTATTTTTCCATATATAGCCTGTTTTTAATAAAATCAACTATATATATACTGTGCTTGTTTTGATGCTTTAAACACGCTATTTGATTAATTAAGGAAGACACGCAAATTACTTGAGGGAGCCGGAGATAAAGATTGCCTAACCAGAAGAAATCAAATCAAATAAACAATATTGTATTTTCAGCTGTTTGAAGCTGGTGTACAAAACCGAAAGTAAAAGATGCAAAAACGAAACTTAAGAACGGGAAGCATAGAAATAAAGCACAAAGAACAGATCTACCTCTTCTTAGACTTGCTTTCAATGAGAGTAACATATCTATAACACAGATTTCTACATTCATTTGGTATTGCAGCTTTAACACAATCAGAAATACCATCAGACATCCCCAAATGGGCACATTTATAGACCTACATTTGCGTGCAGGCTAGGTAGCCTAGGGCTACTTCTATATGCATAATCAGGTGCGCGTCCTTACTCAACATTGACAGGAGCGCTCCAAACAAAAGACAAAGAATAAATTGACAACTCGTAAATGGAATGAATTAAACTTAAACTTGTTACTCACAAGTGTAGCATAGGTTGTGAGCTATGCAAACAACGTGTCTACACTGACAATGAGAACGGTAAACGACTGTAATAATATGCCTATATTAAATGCATTAACAGAAATTACCGTAACCAAATAAACATTGTAGATGAGAAATTATGGGAATTAACAGTAAATGTAGGCTACTACTGGTGATACTGTATATGTAATGAGGAATTGATAGACACCTACAGTCGTGGTCAAAAGTTTTGAGAATGACACATTAATTTTCACAAAGTCTGCTGCCTCAGTTTTTATGATGGCAATTTGCATATACTCCAGAATGTTATGAAGAGTGATCAGATGAATTGCAATTAATTGCAAAGTCCCTCTTTGCCTTGAAAATGAACTTAAACCCCCAAAAAACATTTCCACTGCATTTCAGCCCTGCCACAAAAGGACCAGCTGACATCATGTCAGTGATTCTCTCGTTAACACAGGTGAGAGTGTTGACAACGACAAGGCTGGAGATCACTCTGTCATGCTGATTGAGTTAGAATAACAGACTGGAAGCTTTAAAAGGAGGGTGGTGCTTGAAATCATTGTTCTTCCTCTGTTAACCATGGTTACCTGCAAGGAAACACGTGCCGTCATCATTGCTTTGCACAAAAAGGGCTTCACATGCAAGGATATTGCTGCTAGTAAGATTGCACCTAAATCAACCATTTATCGGATCATCAAGAACTTCAAGGAGAGAGGTTCAATTGTTGTGAAGAAGGCATCAGGGCACCCAAGAAAATCCAGCAAGCGCCAGGACCGTCTCCTAAAGTTGATTCAGCTGCGGGATCGGGGCACCACCAGTGCAGAGCTTGCTCAGGAATGGCAGCAGGCAGGTGTGAGTGCATCTGCACGCACAGTGAGGCGAAGACTTTTGGAGGATGGCCTTGTGTCATGAAGGGCAGCAAAGAAGCCACTTCTCTCCAGGAAAAACATCAGGGACAGACTAATATTCTGCAAAAGATGAATAAAGAATGGTACCAACAAATCCTCTGAGAGCAACTTCTCCCAACCATCCAAGAACAGTTTGGTGACGAACAATGCCTTTTCCAGCATGATGGAGCACCTTGCCATAAGGCAAAATTGATAACTAAGTGGCTCGGGGAACAAAACATCGACATTTTGGGTCCATGGCTAGGAAACTCCCCAGACCTTAATCCCATTGAGAACTTGTGGTCAATCCTCGGCGGGTGGACAAACAAAAACCCACAACTTCTGACAAACTCCAAGCATTGATTATGCAAGAATGGGCTGCCTTCAGTCAGGATGTGGCCCAGAAGTTAATTGACAGCATGCCAGGGCGGATTGCAGAGGTCTTGAAAAAGAAGGGTCAACACTGCAAATACTGACTCTTTGCATTAACTTAATGCAATTGTCAATAAAAGCCTTTGACACTTATGGAATGCTTGTAATTATACTTCAGTATACCATAGTAACATCTGACAAAAATATCTCATAACACTGAAGCAGCGAACTTTGTGAAGACCAATACTTGTGTCAATCTCAAAACTTTTGACTACGACTGTACAATCAAAGGGCAAACATTTCACACAATGAATGCGAAGGAAATGGCGGCAGAGAACTCATTCTGGAGAGAGACGTGGCTTGTGCATTTTAGCCACACTCCCCTTCTTGGATTGTGGCATCATCCCACGGCCTCGTCAATGGATTAGTCCACTAAGCCAGGCACAAATCAGACTGGAGTCATGTGCCATGAAAGAAACAAGTCTATTTGCGACTGCTCGACTAAAAAATTATTGGGCAATCAACAGCCTATCGACCAAACAATCGACCAGTTGACTAAATTGATTTATTTTGTCTGACACATTACCTGAACTATTTTCTCTACACCCATCCCACTTCTATTTTTCTCACCTCCCATTTATTTTAGTCATAGGCAGAGGAGGAGAACAAATTACGAGAATCCAGCTGGAGTCGGGGTGTAAGATTCAAATTGCCTCTGGTAAGCAGTTATGTCTGTGACTACACACACTTCCAACCTTCCAGTCCTTGTCATATGATATAATAACCAATATCAGATTGCTTTTAATTGAATATCTCAGCAACATACAGTACCAGTCAAAAGTTTGGACTCACTTACTCATTCAAGGGTTTTTCTTTATTTTAACTATTTTCTACATTGTAGAATAATAGTGAAGACATCAACATTATGAAATAACACATATGGAATAATGTAGTAACCAAAAAAAGTGTTAAACAAATCAAAATATATTTTATATTTGAGTTGTTTCTAAGTAGCCAGCCTTTGCCTTGATGACAGCTTTGCACACTCTTGGCATTCTCTCAACCAACTTCACCTGGAATGCTTTTCCAACAGTCTTGAAGTACTTCCCACATATGATGAGCACTTGTTGGCTGCTTTTCCTTCACTCTGCAGTCCAACTCATTCCAAACCACCTCAATTGGGTTGAAGTTGGGGGATCTGATGCAGCACTCCATCACTCTCCTTCTTGGTCAAATAACCCTTACACAGCCTGGAGGTGTGTTGGGTCATTGTCTTGTTGAAAAACAAATGATAGTCCCGCTAAGCCCAAACCAGATGGGATGGCATATCACTGCAGAATGTTGTGGTAGCCATGCTGGTTAAGTGTGCCTTGAATTCTAAATGAATCACAGATGGTGTCACCAGCAAAGCACCATCACAGCACCTCCTCCGTGCTTCACGGTGGGAACTACACATGCGGAGATCATCTGTTCACCTACACAGCGTCTCACAAAGACACAACGATTGGAACCAAAAATCTCAAATTTGGACTCCAGACCGAAGGACAGATTTCCACCGGTCTAATGTCCATTGATCGTGTTTCTTGGCCCAAGCAAGTCTCTTCTTCTTATTGGTGTCCTTTAGTCGTGGTTTCTTTGCAGCAATTTGACCATGAAGGCCTGATTCACGCAGTCCCCTCTGAACAGTTGACGTTGAGATGTGTCTTTGAAGCACTTTATTTGGGCTGCAATTTCTGAGGCTGGTAACTCTAATTAACTTATCTTCTGCAGCAGAGGTAACTCTGGGTCTTTCTTTCCTGTGGCGGTCCTCATGAGAGCCAGTTTCATCATAGCGCTTGATGGTTTTTGCGACTGCACTTGAAGAAACTTCCAAAGTGCTTCACATTTTCTGGATTGTCTGACCTACATGTCTTAAAGTAATGATGGACTGTCGTTTCTTTTTGATTATTTGAGCTGTTCTTGCCGTAATATGGACTTAGACCTATTTGGTAAAAGACCATCTTCTCTATACTACCCCCCCCCCCCCCACCTTGTCACAACACAACTGACTGGCGCAAACGCATTAAGAAGGAAATAAATTCCACAAATTCACTTTTAACAAGGCACACCTGTTAATTGAAATGCATTCCAGGTGACTGCCTCATGAATCTGGTTGAGAGAATGCCAAGAGTGTGCAAAGCTGTCATCAAGGCAAAGGGTGGCTATTTGGATAATTTGTTTAACACTTTTTTGGTTACTACATGATTCCTTATGTGTTAATTCATAGTTTTGATGTCTTCACTATTATTCTACAAAAAAAAACCTGGAATGAGTAGGTGTGTCCAAACTTTTGACTAGTACTGTATAGTATGAGAGTTGTCAGCTAGCTAGAAGCGATGTCAGCAATGCAAAATGGATTATCATGACTGTTTTTGCTCAATACTGGATCTATCTTGAAAACTTGACTCCTTTAACTGTATGCCAGCTGTTCTGTACATGATGCTGACTGTAATGTCTGTTTGTCATGGTAGAGAGTGGAGGTATGATGGACAGAGCCTGCTCCCTCACTGGAACCCCTGAGAGCATTGAGTGAGTTTCTAGATTGAGACTGTTGAACGTGACAAATTCTATAAACTTAGTGGCAGTAAAGTACCGTCGACATCCTTTGTCATTTTGAAAATAACAATGTTTCCGTCTTGAGTGGACCCTAATGCATTTGATGGCCCAACATTATGTGGAAAGTCCCCTTATTGACGGTTTATAGATGCTCACTGTATCAACTGAAACCCTATTGGAATTAGTTAAAAATATATATATTTAACTGTCACTCCACAATATTACCGTTTTGACAATACATAATACGGTTTTAAAAACCACATTGTGGACCACTCAGATAATGTTTTGACACTGTAGGACAGTCATAGTAGGCAATGATAGTACAATATTTCATTGGTTTCGGTGATAATACATTACATCATCTACAGTGGCTTGCGAAAGTATTCACCCCCCTTGGCATTTTTCCTATTTTGTTGCCTTACAACCTGGAATTAAAATGGATTTTTGGGGGATTTGTATCATTTGATTTACACAACATGCCTATAACTTTGAAGATGCAAAATATTTTTTCTTGTGAAACAAACAAGAAATAAGACAAAAAAACAGAACTTGAGCGTGCATAACTATTGATCCCCCCAAAGTCAATACTTTGTAGAGCCACCTTTTGCAGCAATTACAGCTGCAAGTATCTTGGGGTATGTCTCTATAAGCTTGGCACATCTAGCCACTGGGATTTTTGCCCATTCTTCAAGGCAAAACTGCTCCAGCGCCTTCAAGTTGGATGGGTTCTGCTGGTGTACAGCAATCTTTAAGTCATACCACATATTCTTAATTGAATTGAGGTCTGGGCTTTGACTAGGCCATTCCATTCCAAGACATTTAAATGTTTCCCCTTAAACCACTCGAGTGTTGCTTTAGCAGTTTGCTTAGGGTCATTGTCCTGCTGGAAGGTGAACCTCCGTCCCAGTCTCAAATCTCTGGAAGACTGAAACAGGTTTCCCTCAAGAATTTCCCTGTATTTAGGTCCATCCATCATTCCTTCATTTCTGACCAGTTTCCCAGTCCCTGTCGATGAAAAACATCCCACAGCATGATGCTGCCACCACCATGCTTCACTGTGGGGATGGTGATCTCGGGGTGATGAGAGGTGTTGGGTTTGCGCCAGACATAGCGTTTTCCTTGATGGCCCAAAAGCTCAATTTTAGTCTCATCTGACCAGAGTACCTTCTTCCATATGTTTGGGGAGTCTCCCACATGCCTTTTGGTGAACACCAAACGTGTTTTCTTATTTTTTTTCTTTAAGCAATGGCTTTTTTCTGGCCACTCTTCTGTAAAGCCCAGCTCTGTGGCGTGTACGGCTTAAAGTGGTCCTATGGACAGATACTCCAATCTCCGCTGTGGAGCTTTGCAGCTCCTTCAGGGTTATCTTTGGTCTCTTTGTTGCCTCTGATTAATGCCCTCCTTGCCTGTTCCGTGAGTTTTGGTGGGTGGCCCTCTCTTGGCAGGTTTGTTGTGGTGCCATATTCTTTCCATTTTTTAATAATGGATTTAATGGTGCTCCATGGGATGTTCAAAGTTTCTGATCTTTTTTTATAACCCAACCCTGATCTGTACTTCTCCACAACTTTGTGCCTGACCTGTTTGGAGAGCTCCTTGGTCTTCATGGTGCCGCTTGCTTGGTGATGCCCATTGCTTAGTGGTGTTGCAGACTCTGGGGCCTTTCAGAACAGGTGTGTGTATATACTGAGATCATGTGACAGATCAAGTGACACTTAGATTGCACACAGGTGGACTTTATTTAACTAATTATGTGACTTCTGAAGGTAATTGGTTGCACCGTATCTTATTTAGGGGATTCATAGCAAAGGGGGTGAATACATATGAACGCACTACTTTTCCGTAATTTATTTTTTAGAATGTATTGAAACAAGTTATTTTTTTCTTTTTCATTTTTTACCAATTTGGACTATTTTGTGTGTGTCCATTCCATGAAATCCAAAAAGTTAAATTTCAGGTTATAATGCCACAAAATAGGAAAAAATGCCAAGGGGGATGAATTATTTTGCAAGGCACTGTATAGTTCATTGATATACAACTTTTTGCACTCCACCAGGCAGGCCAAGAGAATGCTTGGTCAGATAGTGGACCGCTGTCGGAACGGCCCCGGGTTCCACAGCGAGGCTGAGAGCAACAGCTCAGTCCAGGAGATGCTCATCCCAGCCAGCAAAGTGGGCCTGGTCATCGGAAGGGGAGGGGACACCATCAAGCAACTGCAGGTATGTCTTCCTAGAGAAAAAATAATAATGTAATAGGATCTCTGTGGCTATACTCCCTCTAGCCTTCTATAATAATGCCACAACTAGCCCAATTACTACATTTACATTTACGTCATTTAGCAGACGCTCTTATCCAGAGCGACTTACAAATTGGTGCATTCACCTTACTACCATTATTGCTGCAGCACTACCACTACCACTACTGCTACTAGGCCTACACAGGTTTTTGTTAACCCAACTACACCTTTTTTCACAACCATAAATACTTCAAGACAAGCAAGACACACATTTTCTTTAGGAAATCTCATTTTCTAGTTTCTACAGTCTTCTCTGTAATTATCAAGTAGTTATGATGTTCACTATTTTCCTTTCTTCCCTCGTATGGACTAACATGAGGCCCACAAGGTTTGTGAGCAAAGGATTGTTGTTTGTCCGTACGCACCCTACTTAGTGTCACTCTGTGGTAGGGCTGTCGCGGTGACCGTATTACCGCCACACCGGCAGTCATGAAGTCAAATTCCACGTGACCGTTTAGTCACGGTAATTAGGCTCTGATGCTGCTGATGGTCATTAGTAGCCTACCAAACTTGCTAACTACCTGGTACTCAGCACTCTATTGTCCCTCTAATCACTCTGACGTCAATGCAAATGTAATCGAAAATCTAATCAAACACTTCATGAGAGATAATGTTGCTCAACATTTCTATAGGTTATGCAATTGCGCGAGAAAACCGAGTGATGGCCTCAAATAAAGATAGAGGAGCTTCCCATCAGCTTTCTATAGGCTAGGCCTACTGTATTTATTTCTCAACTTTCCTAATATTAAGCACATTGCTTATCTTTACAACAGGAGTATAGCCTACCTGGCTGACATGAAAATGAACCATGAGAAAAGCATCCTCCATTCGCTATTTAAGTGCATAGATTACTTTTTTTTTCCCCCCTGACCCTGTTTTTTGATGGGTGCATGATAATGGTCCATTCTAAATCAAAACATATTTCACACATTTGATTTAATCTTGTCTTTACATATACTAAATAAAGAATAATAGTCTGATGGGTGACAATATTAGCCTATCACTTGTGAATTATATACTATCACTTGTGAATGATGCCCTGCATTAGGCAAGAAACAAGGCCTTTTCTTTGCGACTTTTTCTAATTATAGTCGCACACCTCATGTAGCCTACCCCATAGGCCTACAGTACCAGTCAAACGTTTGGACACACCTACTCATTCAAGGGTTTTTCTTTATTTTTACAATTTTTTTTACATTGTAGAATAATAGTGAAGACATCAAAACATGATGACAGCTTTATACACTCTTGGCATTCTCTCAACCAGCTTCACCTGGAATGCTTTTCAAACAGCCTGAAGGAGTTTCCACATGTACTGAGCACTTGTTGGCTGCTTTTCTTTCACTCTGCGGTCCAACTCATCCCTAATCATCTCAATTGGGTTGAGGTCGGGGGATTGTGGAGGCCAGGTCATCTGATGCAGCACTCCATCACTCTCCTTCTTCGTAAAATAGCCCTTACACAGCCTGGAGGTGTGTTGGGTCATTGTCCTGTTGAAAAACAAATGATAGTCCCACTAAGCCCAAACCAGATGGGATGGCGTATTGCTGCAGAATGCTGTGGTAGACATGCTGGTTAAGTGTGCCTTGAATTCTAAATAAATCACAGACAGTGTCACCAGCAAAGCACCCCCACACCATAACACCACCTCCTCCATGCTTTACGGTGGGAAGTACACATGTGGAGATCATCTGTTCACCCACACCGCGTCTCACAAAGACACAGCGGTTTGAACCAAAAATCTCACATTTGGACTCCAGGTCTAATGTCCATTGCTCGTGGTTTTTGGCCCAAGCAGGTCTCTTCTTGTTATTGGTGTCCTTTAGTAGTGGTTTCTTTGCAGCAATTCGACCATGAAGGCCTGATTGACACAGTCCCCTCTGAACAGTTGATGTTGAGATGTCTCTGTTACTTGAACTCTGAAGCATTTATTTGGGCTGCAATATCTGAGGCTGGTAACTCTAATGAATGTATCCTCTGCATTCGTGTTGTGGTCCTCATGAGAGCCAGTTTCATCATAGCGCTTGATTGTTTTTGCGACTGCACTTGAAGAAACTTTCAAAGTTCTTGACATTTTCCGTATTGACTGACCTTCATGTCTTAAAGTAATGATGGACTGTCATTTCTCTTTGCTTATTTAAGCTGTTCTTGCTATAATATGGACTTGGTCTTTTACCAAATAGGGCTATCTTCTGTATACCCAACCCTACCTTGTCACAACACAACTGATTGGCTCAAACGCATTAAGAAGGAAATCAATTCCACAAATTAACTTTTAAGAAGACACACCTGTTAATTGAAATGCATTCCAGGTGACTACCTGAGATAATGCAAAGAGTGTGCAAAGCTGTCAGCCACCCTTTGCCTTGATATTTGAAGAATCTCAAATATAAAATATATTTTGATTTGTTTAACACTTTTTTGGTTACTACATGATTCCATACAGTGGGGAAAAAAAGTATTTAGTCAGCCACCAATTGTGCAAGTTCTCCCACTTAAAAAGATGAGAAAGGCCTGTAATTTTCATCATAGGTACACGTCAACTATATTAGACAAAATGAGAAAAGAAAATCCAGAAAATCACATTGTAAGATTTTTAATGAATTTATTTGCAAATTATGGTGGAAAATAAGTATTTGGTCACCTACAAACAAGAAAGATTTCTGTCTCTCACAGACCTGTAACTTCTTCTTTAAGAGGCTTCTCTGTCCTCCACTCGTTACCTGTATTAATGGCACCTGTTTGAACTTGTTATCAGTATAAAAGACACCTGTCCACAACCTCAAACAGTCACACTCCAAACTCCACTATGGCCAAGACCAAAGAGCTGTCAAAGGACACCAGAAACAAAATTGTAGACCTGCACTAGGCTGGGAAGACTGAATCTGCAATAGGTAAGCAGCTTGGTTTGAAGAAATCAACTGTGGGAGCAATTATTAGGAAATGGAAGACATACAAGACCACTGATAATCTCCCTCGATCTGGGGCTCCACGCAAGATCTCACCCCGTGGGGTCAAACTGATCACAAGAACGGTGAGCAAAAATCCCAGAACCACACGGGGGGACCTAGTGAATGACCTGCAGAGAGCTGGGACCAAAGTAACAAAGCCTACCATCAGTAACACACTACGCCGCCGGTGACTCAAATCCTGTAGTGCGAGACGTGTCCCCCTGCTTAAGCCAGTACATGTCCAGGCCCGTCTGAAGTTTGCTAGAGTGCATTTGGATGATCCAGAAGAGGATTGGGAGAATGTCATATGGTCAGATGAAACCAAAATATAACTTTTTGGTAAAAACTCAACTTGTCGTGTTTGGAGGACAAAGAATGCTGAGTTGCATCCAAAGAACACCATACCTACTGTGAAGCATGGGGGTGGAAACATCATGCTTTGGGGCTGTTTTTCTGCAAAGGGACCAGGACGACTGATCCGTGTAAAGGAAAGAATGAATGGGGCCATGTATCGTGAGATTTTGAGTGAAAACCTCCTTCCATCAGCAAGGGCATTGAAGATGAAACGTGGCTGGGTCTTTCAGCATGACAATGATCCCAAACACACTGCCCGGGCAACAAAGGAGTGGCTTCGTAAGAAGCATTTCAAGGTCCTGGAGTGGCCTAGCCAGTCTCCAGATCTCAACCCCATAGAAAATCTTTGGAGGGAGTTGAAAGTCCGTGTTGCCCAGCGACAGCCCCAAAACATCACTGCTCTAGAGGAGATCTGCTTGGAGGAATGGGCCAAAATACCAGCAACAGTGTGTGAAAACCTTGTGAAGACTTACAGAAAACGTTTGACCTGTGTCATTGCCAACAAATGGTATATAACAAAGTATTGAGAAACTTTTGTTATTGACCAAATACTTATTTTCCACCATAATTTGCAAATAAATTCATTAAAATTCCTACAATGTGATTTTCTGGAAAAAATATTCTCCTTTTGTCTGTCATAGTTGACGTGTACCTATGATGAAAATTACAGGCCTCTCTCATCTTTTTAAGTGGGAGAAATTGCACAATTGGTGGCTGACTAAATACTTTTTTTCCCCACTGTATGTGTTATTTCATAGTTTTGATGTCTTCATTATTATTCTACAATGCAGGAAATATTTTTAAAAAATAAAGAAAAACCCTTGAATGAGAAGGTGTGTCCACTTTTGACTGGTACTGTATATGTTTTGATAAGGTTTGTATCACAACTAAAGTAGCCAAATAACTTCTTAAAATTAGGCACATTAATCCACTTTACAAGGGGTGCAGAGTCTAAACGGCATACGTAAGCAGCGCGTGAGTTTCAAGTTTGGGGAAGATAATTTTTCCAATAAAAATACACCTTTATAATAAAAGCATTACATGAATAATCGCATTTGAGGTCACTTTTGATAATGGTGTTTTACCGCTAATGGAACATTTGCGCTAATCGCCTACTGCCGTGTGCGCATTGCTGTGCTCATAATTGTAAGAAATAGCCTAATAGTTTATAAACATTTAAAGCTAAACCTTCTGATCTGTTGAGTCAGCCACATTGCGTAAAAACGTTTTTGGGATGCTAGTGGTTGTATGAGTTTGGGATTTATCGCGTCCCACAACTGTCCCAGACTATGTTTGGAATATTTATTTCTCGCACAGAATAGAATAGGTCAACATGTGTACCATGGGAGATGGTAGATTAACATAGGCTAGTGCTTTTGCTGTTCGTTAGGCCTACTCATCTTGTTGGCTGACAAAAAGTAAATGTGGGCTGTTCTTCCAATATCTTCAATATGCACCTTGGAATTGGATAAGGACGCGCGCAGTTGTGTCCCCGATGTGTCTGTCTTCACTTGTAGCCTGTGAGAAAGACCCGATCACGTGATGGATAGCCATGTGAGTGAGAGGTGCTTTGGAGCGCAGAGCACTCAGGGAGAAGGGCACAACGCAGCACTCCGGCACAACGGCCACTGGCCGCAAAAATTGGGTGCATTACGGCGACACAAAGGGTATGCCGCCGTGAAAATCGAGTCATTATCAAGTGCTTGTCAAATTGTGAATGAGAGACTGATAGTGTGTACAGCCTGCGCAAAAAACAAAGCAGAGCTCATACCTTTTTTAAGTGACTTTTTTCAAATCATCATTAGTCGTAGCCTTACAATGTGTTAAAAATCAAAACATATAGCCCAATGTTGTTAGAACAACTAAAGTTACATTGATTAATCTAAATTACCCATATAGGAGTACCTATTTAATTGTTAACTGCAAATCAAAACATATAGCCCAATGTTGATAGAACAACTAAAGTTACATTGATGAATCTAAATTACCCATATAGGAGTACCTATTTAATTGTTAATTGCTAAACACAGAATAGCTGCATGTGCGCACTCCCTCAAATCGTTTGGAGAAAATATCCTTTCTATTTTATTCAGCTTTGTTCAATTGTATTCTTCATACTATAAAAATAATGCCACGGAATTCTGAGCAAATCTGTTAAATGAACTAGTGTAGAATTGGAGTGGGTCTAGGGTATCCGGAATGATGCTGTTGATGTGAGCCATGACCAGTCTTTCAAAGCACTTAATGGCTAACGACATGAGTGCTACGGGGCAGTAATGATTTAGGCAGGTTACCTTCACTTCCTTGGGCACAGGGACTATGGTGGTCTGCTTGAAACATGTAGGTATTACATACTCGGTCAGGGAGAGGTTGAAAATGTCAATGAAGACACTTGCCAGTTGTTCCGCGCGTGCTTTGAGTACACGTCCTGGTAGTCCGTCTGGCCCCGCGGCTTTGTGAATGTTGATCTGTTTAAAGGTCTTGCTCACATCGGCTACTGAGAGCGTTATCACACAGTCGTCTGGTTGGCTCGCGTCACTGAGCAGCTCTCGGGTGGGTTTCCATTTGTAGTCCGTAAAAGTTTTAGAGCCCTGCCACATCCGACGAGCGTCAGAGCCCCACGTCATCTGACCACTTCCGTAATGAGCGAGTCACTGGTACTTCCTGCTTCAGTTTTTGCTTGTAAGCAGGAATCAGGAGGATAGAATTATGGTCAGATTTGCCAAATGGAGGGTGAGGGAGAGCTTTGTATGTGTATCTGTGTATGGAGTAAAGGTGGTCTAGAGTTTTTTTTTTTTTTCTCTGGTTGTACATGTGACATGCTGGTACGGAAATTAGGTAAAACGGATTTAAGTTTGCCTGCATTAATGTCCCCGGCCACTAGGAGTGCCGCTTCTGGATGAGCATTTTCTTGTTTGCTAATGGCCTTATACAGCTCGTTGAGTGCAGTCTTAGTGCCAGCATTGGTTTGTGGTGGTAAATAGACGGCTATGAATAACATAGATGAGAACTCTCTCTTGGTAGATAGTGTGATCTACAGCTTATCATGAGGTATTCTACCTCAGGCGAGCAATACCTTGAGACTTCTTTAATATTAGACATTGCGCACCAGCTGTTATTGACAAATAGACACACACCTCCGCCCCTCGTCTTACCAGACGTAGTAGCTTCTCTGTCCTGCCGATGCATAGAAAATCCCACCAGCTCTATATTATCCGTGTCGTCAGCCACGACTCAGTGAAACATAAGATATTACAGTTTTTAATGTCCTGTTGGTAGGATATTCTTGATCGTAGATCATCCATTTTGTTTTCCAATGATTGCACGTTGGCCAATAGAACGGATGGTAGTGGAGGTTTACTCACTCGCCTACGAATTCTCAGAAGGCAGCCCGACCTCCGCTCCCCTTTTCTCTGTCTTTTCTTCATGCAAATGACGGGGATTTGGGCCCATTCCGATAAAGCAGTATATCCCTCACGTCGGACTCGTTAAAGAAAAAATAATCATTAGTTACATCATGCAGCCTTACAATATATTAAAAATCAAAACATATAGCCCTTTTGTAGAATACCTAACGTTACATGAATAACTCTAAATTAAGCATATAGGAGTACCTATTTCTTTGTTAACCGCTCAACACAGAATAGCCGAATGTGCGCACTCCCTCATAGTTTGGAGAAAATTATTTATATTTTATTCAGCTTTGCTCAATTGTATTCTTCATACTATAAAATAATTTAAAATGATGGCACGGATTTCTAAGAAAATCTTGTCTGCTAAATGAGTGTAGCCCACAGCCATTTGGCATAGCCAGATTAGGACCTAACATAAGGACAACGCTGAGTATGCTGTTCTGTCCTTCTGAAATAGAGTACCATTTCTTCAAATCATGTTTCTTTAGACCTGTCTAAAATAAATAATGGATTTATTGTGAAGGTGTAGGCTATATTACATGTATTTATTAGACTTTTTAAAATGTAGATGTTTCAAAGGTTTCCATCAGTGGCTTGTAGGCTATGTGTGGAAGCCAGGAGATGCTAAATGCGTTTGTTAATTAATGGTCAATTACCGTGAGACAGACAGTTATTTGTTTGACAATCACCGGCTGACCAAATTTTGTGACAGCCACAGCCCAAGTCAGTGGTAGTCACTAATATTTCTGAGGGAGCCACTTTTGTGAAACTACCTCACTGGGCAAGCCACCATACCAATTGGAGATGAGGGGTTGGGGAGGTCACACAGTCAAATTGCTTCATAAAATCTAAACGGATGATTAGGCTATCAAAGCAATATTTCTCAACTTCACATTTTAGACATTTACATTTTTACATGGAGTTCATATTGGCTGCCCTAAGAAGGCCGTTTGGTTCATTTAGTTAGGCAATTCTAAAAGCAGCAGCCTTATATTCAGGGCTTTTTTCAACTTCCAAAGCCTGTTAAAATAGAAAATGTTACTGTCTCTGCAACAGAAGGGACTCACTATTTGCAAAATGCATTGCATTGCTGTCTAGTCATTTGAACGCTCTAACATCGTTTTTTCTGAAGACAGTATAACATGGACCATAAACCCGTTTCATTGTCTATTTTAGGATACTTGGTGGTATAAGAAACGATTTTGATGAGTAAAAAAAAATCTGGGCTTATTGCCATTAACTCAAAAGTTATAAATAACAGAGTGAAATTTCAGTCTGAAGGAAGTATGCTTTGAAGTGATTAAAATGCATCAGAAATGTATTGGAAAGTTCAGGAAAACCTCAGGTATAATGATTAAGAAATCTTTGTATGATGTTCTTTCGAGAATCAATTAATTTCCCCTATTCATTCTGTGTGGATTTGTCACACTCTGTTCTTATGAGCCTTGTACGGCTTTTGAGTGTCCTAGAGGGAAACAGAAGACTTGGACGCGAGTCTTCGCTTTCAGGAACGGGATCTACTACGTGTTTACCGTGTGTGTCTGTGTGTGCCAGGAGAGAATAGGAGTGAAGATGATGATGATCCAGGACGGCCCCATGCCCACCGGGGCGGACAAACCCCTGAGAATCACTGGGGATCCCTACAAGGTCCAGGTGAGGGAGGGGTGGGGGGCTGAGTAACGTTATACAGGGCAACTACTGTTAGACTGCTGCATGACGGGGAGCATTGACGGCCACGGTGCACACAAACACCGTCACCCGAATCTCATTTTCTTCTCCCCATAGCAAGCTCGGGAGTTGGTGATCGAGATCATCCGCGACAAAGACCAGGGAGACTTCCGCAGCGGCCGCAACGACTTTGCGTCAAGATTGGGCGGAAGTACTTTGGATGTAAGAATGCAATGTGCATGTACAGGATGTCCAGTGAATTTCACAACCCATGACTAGGGTGTCATTTTGAACACACCCTTGATGTTTGAGCTCACGTGCTTCTGACCTTTTCCCTCCGTCTAGGTGGCTGTGCCCAGGTTTGCAGTGGGGATCATCATTGGCCGGAGTGGTGAGATGATCAAGAAGATCCAGGGGGATTCTGGAGTGAGGATCCAATTCAAACCAGGTGCGTGCGCGCATTTGTTTTTACATACTGTATGTCAGATATGTCATATGGAGGAGGGTTTCTCTTCACTGTAGAGATGTAATTATATCGGGGGAATGCAATTTTCCCTGTCTCGTATCATACCATAACCAAGTATGTATGTGGAAAGAGCACTTTGATTCTTTGTGTCGGTGTGTGCCGTATCTTGGGTGTGTTCAATATGACAAAATGATGTGATCAATTCTACGGAAACTGAACGACCAGTTGAAAAACGTTGTGATTATGGTAGCCCAGAAGGTGAGTAGCGTATGGTGTGCTACACAAGTTTTGCGATTTTCAAATGGTCACACCCGTATTTATCAGGCCACCCCTCACCACACCCACCAGTTTTTTGTTAGCTTCTGCACACAATGTGCAGTAGTTAATGGGGATCCTAATAAACTAAACCCAACCAAACGGGAGCAAATGCACCTCAAAGACTGTTGAAGAACGGCGTGCACCGTTTTGGGGAAACGTGTCGTTCAGTACAAACCGTCATGCAACGTAGCAAATGTTGAATCGAGCTGAACGCACTCCTGCTGTCAGTCACCACTGTTGGCTTAGTGCTGACCCTGCTCCCTCCTCCCACCACCAGATGATGGCATCAGCCCAGAGCGCATAGCCCAAGTGATGGGACAACCAGACAGGTGTCAGCACGCTGTCCATCTCATCAACGAGCTCATCCAAACAGCACAGGTATGCACACACACACAGAACAAGCAAATACCTCTCAAGTAAACACTCAGAGCAAAGAACACACACATTCCACATAAGTAGTGTACACACAAACGCACCACAGCAAGCAAACACACACTTGGCACAACACACACCAAGCAAGCACACGTACCACTCGTGATCCTTATTTTCCAGTCAATTTATTTTGCCGCAAGCTGCCTCTTGACCAATGGTCGCATCCCAAATGACAGCCTATTCCCTACATAGTGCACTACTTTTGACAGGGCCCATAAGGCTCTGGTCAAAAGTAGTGCACTATGTAGGGAATAGTGTGCCATTTTGGGACTCGGCCCATGTTGCTTGTTTTCTGGCATGTATCGCTCAGGTGGCCAATACAAGACAATTACCATATAGATCTGCAAATAAGTACTGCAACTCCTAGTCAAATACAGCTAACAGATTAGTCATACGTTTGGTTCTTTGTAAGTGCGGACAACCTCAAGCAAAATTACACGTTTGCAATAAACAGGATTGAAAAGATACTGTATCGAATATATTACCTATGATATATCACAAGGACATTGTAAAATAATGCCACTTCATGCTTGGGTTATGCTCCCGGGGTATGATGTCTGTATTAGCTGGTGAGTGTCTCCTTGCTGTATGTAAAACGTTTGAATATAATTAATTGCATGTTTATCATTATGAATCACTCATGAACTTCACTTTTTATATTCTCATTGAATTTGTCTGCAATTGTCTTGATATGTCCATTGTCTACGCTTGATGACATGTTTTAACGTATGAACAGAGCTGCAAACAACATTTCCCCATGTGAATAATAAAGTTATCTTATGTGTGATTGGAGCAGGAGCGCGATGGCTTTGGGGGCTCTGGAGGACCAAGAGGAAGGGGACGAGGCCGCGGGGACTGGGGCATGGGCTCACCAGGGGGACTGCAGGAGGTCACCTACACAATACCCGCTGACAAGTGTGGTCTGGTGATCGGCAAAGGTACTGCAACTCAGTCCCTCAGTGTTCAAAGCATACTAGGGCAGCGTAGAACCTCGGAGCTCCAAACACAAGTGGATGATGTGCGGAACACTGAGATGTCCGAAGTTCCCTTAACTATATGGAACTATTATAGAAAATATGGATTGTGTATTTACACAACTTTTCTCATATTTTAGCCAGATGCTGTAATTATTGGATGTGTTATTAGCACATGTAGGCCTAAGCAACATTTATGTTCATCTGAAGCCTACAAAAATGTGTTGGGTTTTTATTGCGGCCCAGTGCAGTCAAAAATGTGATTTTCCTGTGTTTTTATATATACTTCCACACTGAGGTTGGAATAATACTGTGGAAATTATAATAATGCACTTTTAGTGTAAGAGCTGTTTGAAAAGACCGCCTGAAATTTCTGCCTGTTTTGGTGGGATGAAGTTTTGGCCTGCCCAAAACTCTCTCCTGACAATTAGTTAATAGAGGAATAAGAAAGAGTTCCAAACCTCTCTGCCAATAACAGCTAGTTTTCAGTTTTCCCCGCTCCACTCAGACCAGTTCCAGACCACTTTCGCAACGTGCATCAATCCCATAGGAAGTCTATGCCAGAAGCAACTGGATGGCCACAGTGTCTCCCTCGCTCCCCATCTCCCCCTGCACTCATGTATATGGCTTTTAAAAGTGATATTCGGTGCCTAATGAGGGGGATAATGAGTGTAAAGTAATGTGACATGAATTGTTTGAGTCTCACAATAACAGCCCTCAATCATCTGGAAGATTGCCGTGGTCCTTCTAATCAGATCTGTTTGCCAGGCGATGGACTTGAATGAGGGAATGACTGTCAAATTTGCTATTCATGCTCACTCTATTGCCTGCTATTTAAAAGTCATTGACCATTTAGTGAGTGACGGGGGTATTTGTGTTGTGGGTGGTTTGATGGGAGACGCGTAGAGAACAGACTACTCATGCGAATGGTGCTCGTTTAATAAAGTTAGATCAAAGTTGTATCAATGTCTTCAAGATCTCATAATGATAGTATTCTACATGACAGAACCGAATATAATAGTATAATGTTACTGTAAGACAAAAACACCACCACATTTCTCTCTACCGCCCCCGTAGTCGTATAACTATTTTCCTCCCTCGAGCTGGATGGCAACTCTCCACAGTCCGTTGATACCAGTGTTGTGTGAGGAAAATTGAGAATGAACTGTTTGCCAAATACAATTTCCAAAATGTTATGTGTTAGTCAAGCACATAACCACTATTGTCACAGAGTTTCTAAACCCAGAGGCGCAAAATCGCAAACCTGCCGGGAACGCTTGTGATGTTCCAGTCCAAACTGGCACAACCTAGATTTGAGCCAATGCCTTAAGTAGTTTTAAGCATGTTGTTGCTTCAACCTTGTGAAAGTGACAAACTGACACTTTTTCATTTTAGTCAAAAACAACTTTATATCGATGGAATGCCCTTTGATTTGACGGCCTGCACACGCATAGTTCGGCAAGAGACGACCGTTAGACCCGACGACTTGTTTCTACGCATGAGCTTAGCTAGCCAACGTCGCCATGACATTGCCTACAAGTGTGATCGGGGATTTCTATTGGAGAAGCAGTTTTAGCCTATCTTAATACGGTACTGTCTTTGCTATTATTTTGTAGTTAGTGCCTTAGCTAGGGCGTCATTACGACAAAGGTAGTTAACTACAGCGTTTAGTCAACGAAGCGAGAACACTTTCTTGCCCGCACATGATTTGATCTCTGCAATGATAGTAGCATTGACGAGCAAGGAAACACATGCAGTGTTGTGGTAGTTCAGTGCGCGGATGGAAACAGACATGGCAGAGAGAGCTGTTCTGCTAATACTGTCCTTCACAGAAAGTTATATTAGACTGTTAAAGATTAGTAGGCCTATGTTAATTAATCAGCTCTTGATCTATCCTCTTGCTATAGCTGTATGTCAGCAGTAGGCTGTGATAAGTCAGTTCACCAATGACGAGGCATGTTGAATAAATGGTAGCCTAGTAGTCAGACTTAACTTGATGGATTAGGTCAGGGATGGAGATCTGAAACAAGTTCATATAGGCCTAGTTCATTTGTTTCATATTCCAAATAGCCTACTGCAGTGTTGTAGTCGACACTAAACTTGGAGGTCGAGTCCCAAGTCCCTTGTTCTCGAGTCTGAGTCGAGTCACGAGTCCCTATGGCTGAAGTCCGAGTCGATTCCGAGTCGCCAAAGGGAGAGTAACGAGTCAAGTCACGAGTCCATCAATTGAAATAGGTGTTATTATGTTTCTAGTCGCCACCAGATGGCAGCAATTTACTAAATGTTACTGAAAGTTATACTCAACAACTGTGTTTCACTACTTATTTGCTACATAAATGAATGGGAAGTCAGGCTCTCGGCTACTTTTTTGTTATCGACCACTGATATGTGTAGGTTTTTTATCGCAGAGTGAAAACTAAATGTAGACTTGTCAGAACCTGGCTATGGGAGGGGGGGAGGGTCGAGCGAGATGACAAATTCATCCACTTACTGTTCTATACATTTTTGCATTTACATTTTAGTCATTTAGCAGACGCTCTTATCCAGAGCGACTTCCAGTTAGTGAGTGCATACATTTTTCATACTGGCCCCCCGTGGGAAACGAACCCACAACCCTGGCGTTGCAAGCGCCATGCTCTACCAACTGAGCTACAGGGGACCTCTCGAGGGGAGAGCGAGAAACACAGCTAGACTGTTGTTTTACTACACTGAACAAAAATATAAACACACTATGTGGAATGTTGGTCCCATTTTTCATGAGCTGAAATAAAAAAATTATTTCTCTCAAATTTGTTTACTTCCCTGTCAGTGAGCATGTCTCCTTTGCCAAGATAATCCATCCACCTGATAGGTGTGGCATATTGTCGTGGAAATTCTACACAGGGACACTCAAAGTCAATCTTAAATGAAGCATTGTTTATTAACAGTTAACCCCTTTACCAAGCACAGGCAGGATCTAAGGATTATTTATGACACTAAAACAAGATTAACATTTTCAAGGCTGTCTTCACATGATAAAATGTTCTATCACATTATCAAGAAGCTGATTTAAACAGCATGATCATTACACAGGTGCACCTTTTGCTGGGGACAATGAAATAGTCACTCTAAAATGTGCAGTTATGTCACACAGCACAATGCCACACATGCCTCAAGTTTTGAGGGAGTGTGCAATTGGCATGCTGACTGCAGGAATGTCCACCAGAGCTGTTGCCAGAAAATGTTATGTTCATTTCTCTACCATGAGCCGCCTCCGTCGTTTTAGAGAATTTGGCTGTAAGTCCAACTGGCCTCACAACCACAGACCACGTGTATGGCATTGTGTGGGTGAGCGGTTTGCTAATGTCATCGTTGTGAACAGAGTGCACCATTGCGGCGGTGGGGTTATGGTATGGGAAGGAATAAGCTACGGACAACAAACACAATTGCATTTTATTGATGGCAATTTAATTCGTGTCGAGGCACAGATCTGGGGAAGGGTACCAAATCATTTCTGCAGCATTGAAGGTCCCCAAGAACACAGTGGCCTGCATCATTCTTAAATGAATGTTTAGAACCACCAAGACTCTTCCTAGAGCTGGCTGCCGGGCCAAACTGAGCAATCGTGGGAGCTGGGCATTGGGGGAGCTGGGCCTTGGTCAGGGAGGTGACCAAGAACCCGATGGTCACTCTGAGGAGATGGGAGAACCTTCCAGAAGGACAACGATCTCTGCAGCACTCCACCAAGCAGGCCTTTTTGGTAGAGTGGCCAGATGGAAGCCACTCCTCAGTAAAAGGCACATGACAGCCGCTTGGAGTTTCCCAAAGGGCACCTAAAGGACTCTGACCATGAGAAACAAGATTCTCTGGTCTGATAAAACCAAGATTGAACTCTTTGGCCTGAATGCCAAGCATCACGTCTGGATCAAACCTGGCACAATCCCTACAGGGAAGTGTGGTGGCAGCATCATGCTGTGGGGATGTTTTTCAGCGGCAGGGACTGGGAGACTAGTCAGGAGCAAAGTACAGAGAGATCCTTGATGAAAACCTGCTCCAGAGCGCTCAGGACCTCGGACTGGGGCGAAGGTACGCCTTCCATCAGGACAAAGACCCTAAGCACACAGCGAAGACAACGCAGGAGTGGCTTCGGGATAAGTCTATGAATGTCCATGAATGGCCCAGCCAGAGCCCGGACTTGAACCCCATCGAACATCTCTGGAGAGACCTGAAAATAGCTGTGCAGCAATGCTCCCCATCCAAACTGACAGAGCTTGAGAGGACCTGCAGAGAAGAATGGGAGAAACTCACCATAAAAACGCATAAAAATACATCAAAAGGAAGTTGGTTTTGAAGTGTCTGTGCTATATCTGAGATATAAGTAGATCAGGATTGTTTTTGATTTTTTTACCAATATTTAACCCCCTTTTTTGTTGTCACTAAACCATACATACTTTAAAACTGGTACCGGGCTACCTTCAGATTAGGCTTGTGGGCAGCCTAGAGCAAAACAACCAATATGTACAGTTGGAAGTCGGAAGTTTACATACACCTTTGCCAAATACATTTAAACTCAGTTTTTCACAATTCCTGACATTTCATCCTAGTAAAAATGCCATGTCTTAGGTCAGGATCACCACTTTATTTTAAGAATGTGAAATGTCAGAATAATAGTGGATAGAATGATTGATTTATTTCAGCTTTTATTTCTTTCATCACATTCCCAGTGGGTCAGAAGTTTACATACACTCAATTAGTATTTGGTAACATTGCCTTTAAATTGTTTAACTTGGGTCAAACGTTTCGGGTAGCCTTCCACAAGCTTCCCACAATAAGTTGGGTGAATTTTGGCCCATTCCTCCTGACAGAGCTGGTGTAACTGAGTCAGGGTTGTAGGCCTCCTTGCTCGCACACGCTTTTTCAGTTCTGCCCACACATTTTCTATAGGATTGAGGTCAGGGCTTTGTGATGGCCACTCCAATACCTTGACTTAGTTGTCCTTAAGCCATTTTGCCACAACTTTGGAAGTAAGCTTGGGGTCATTGTCCATTTGGAAGACCCATTTGCGACCAAGCTTTAACTTCCTGACTGATGTCTTGAGATGTTGCTTCAATATATCCACATCATTTTCCTTCCTCATGATGCCATCTATTTTGTGAAGTGCACCAGTCCCTCCTGCAGCAAAGCACCCCCACAGCATGATGCTGCCACCCCCGTTCTTCACAGTTAGGATGGTGTTCTTCGGCTTGCAAGCATCCACCTTTTTCCTCCAAACATAACGATGGTCATTATGGCCAAACTATTTTTGTTTCATCAGACCAGATGACATTTCTCCAAAAAGTACCATCTTTGCCCCCATGTGCAGTTGCAAACCGTAGTCTGGCTTTTGTATGGCGGTTTTGGAGCAGTGGCTTCTTCCTTGCTGGGCGTCCTTTCAGGTTAGGTGGATATAGGACTCGTTTCCACATAAAGACACCTATTAATTAAAGCTGCAAGCAGCGTTGCCAGGGTTCAGGTGTGTGCCCAATGTGCCACCATCAGGAAAAATGTGGCACATTGCCCTATGATGAATTACTTCTGTACTATTTACCACACTTGCCAAATATCTCAACTCAAAATCAAACTGATCATGCAATATGATATGCTTTTGGTGTATTTTGGACCAATTTCAATGATGTTTACTACTTTACACGTTTTCTCCAGAACCGATTGGCACTAAATTTGGTATATAGCATCTTTGAATGCACATCTTCAAACACACTATTTTCCAAGACTCTAGCTGAAACAATATGGCTGCTATGAGCCAATG